ACTGTCAGGCTATTCTTTGAAGGAGAACTCCCTTTTGGTCCCTGGCACTGTCAGGCTATTCTTTGAAGGAGAACTCCCTTTTGGTCCCTGACACTGACCTATCAATCTATTGCCATATCAAGCTCATAAAGGTTTTTCTCTGCATTCATTTAAGAGTTTCAGTTTGAGCTCTTAAATACTTGATCCATTTTGAGTTATTTTTGCACATAGTATGAGGCAAAGTTCCAATTTCATTCTTTTGTATGTGGATATCTAGTTGTTTAAGCATCATTTGTTGAAAACACTATTTTTCCCCATTAAATCAACTTGGTATTTGCTATGGTTTGAATATGGTTTAAATGTTACCCCCAAGGGCTAATGAGCTGGAAGCTTGGTCTTCAGAATGGCAATATTGAGGTGGTGTAAATTTTGAGAGGCAGGCCTAGTGGAAGATAGTTAGGTCATTGAGGGTTCTGCTCTCACGAATGCTTTAATTCTGGTCTTCCAGAGTGGGTTGGGTCTCGAGGAGTGAGTTAGTTCCTACAAGAAAAAAAAAAAAAAAAAGAGCAAGCCTGGCCTCTTTCACCTTCTTCCTTCCCATCTTGCCACATGATACTTCATTCTGGAATATACTCCTGTCATGATGCCATCTGCCATGTTGTCCTGTTCACAGAAGGTCGACAAAGCTGAGCAGATGCTGGTGCCGTGTTCTTGGGCTTCAGCAACTGCAAGCTAAATAAACCTTTTTCCTTTCTTTTTTAAAAAAAATTATCCAGCTTCAGATATTTTAGTATAGCAAAACAAAATGGACTGAGACAGTATCTTGTTCAAAAATCAGTTGATTATAGACATTCCCCCCCCACTTTCAATTCTATTCAGTTGATCTGTAGTCTCTCCTTCTACCAACTTTACACTGTCTTGATTACTGTTTTGTAGCACCTTCTGAAATCAGGTAATGTGAGCCCTCCAGTTTATTTATATATATATATATATTTATTTATTTATTTTACCCTTCTGGATCCCTTGTAATTTCAAATGAATTAATTGTAATTTTACAATGTAAAATTTATACAATTTTACATTGTAATTTTACAATGAAGGTGTCCATTTTTATAAAGAAGCCATCTGGGATTCTTACAGACTATAGTGAATCTATAGATCAATTTGGGGAGTACTGCAATCTTAATGATATTTAATCTGATTTGTGGATATGGGATTTTTTCATTCATTTATTAGATCTTTCAAAATTTCTTTCAATACTTTCATAGTTTTCAGAGTACAAATGTTGCATTTTTTTTGTTAAACTTATCACTAAACTTTGGGGAGCCACTCTGAATGATTCATGGCTTTCATCCTGGAGAGGAGAGGTTTTGACTGGTCACTACACTAAACACTTTATTCTTTTTGATGCTACTGTAAATGAAACTGTTTTCTTCACTTTTAAATTTTTCATTGTTAGTTGGTAGAAATAAAATTGAGTATTGTATGTATATCATTGTGTTCTATAACTTTGCTGAATTTGTTTATTAATTCTAATAGCATTTTAATGGATTCCTTGTGATATTTCTGTACATAAGATCATGCTATCTACAAATAGTTTTATTTCTTCCTTTTCAATTTGGATGCCTATATTTCTTCTATTTTCCTAATTACTCTAAGACTTTTAGTATAATGTTGAATGTCTTATTCCTGACCTTGGGGAGTTAGTATGTCTTTCATCATTCAGTATGATGTTAACTGTAGGGTTTTAATAAACGTCCTTTATCAGGTTGAAGAAGACATCTTCTGTTTCTGGTGTGTTGAGGATTTTATTTTTACTTTTTTGTAGTTGTAGATGGACAGCATGTCTTTATTTTATTTGTTTATTCTTATGTGGTGGATTGAACCCAATGCCTCACAAATGCAAGGCAAGTGCTCTGCCACTGAGCCACAGCCCAGCCTGAGTTGTTTTGTTTTGTATAATAATGGAATAGTTTTTCCTGCATTTATTGATTATCCCATTTTTTATTCTATTGAGATGGTATATTAATTGAATGCTGTCACATAAGGTAGTACCATAAACTGAGCTACCTCTCCCTATCTCTTAAATTTTCCCTATATGATTTTCTAAAATGACTGAATAAATCTCCTTTTACCTGTAAGCAGGGGTTTCTGAAGCTCAGTGCTATTGACACTTTGGGTTGGATAATTCTTTACTGTGGAGGCTGTCCTGTGTATTGTAGGCTGTTTAGCAGCATCCCTGATCTGTGCTCACTAGATCCCAAGGGCCCTAAGTTGTCCCCCGCTAAGTTGTGACAACAAAAAACTGTGTTTGAACATTGCCAAATTTCTCCTGGAGGACAAAATTGTCCCTGGTCAAGAACCATGGGGCTGGATTGACCTATGGTTGCTTCAGCCCAAGGGCAGGAAGGGAGCCCGGTCACTGCTCAGATCACATTAAATCATTCTGATTCTCAACATACTGGATTTGTTTAAAGAATGGAATTGGAGAGCAGGATGTCCAAATTACCATCATCTTGATCGTTCACATGATAATGATGCCAGATGTGGTATCTGTCAAAAAGTAAGAATTACAAAAGGCAAAACTCTTTCATTGCTTCCCACACTGGGAGATGGTGCAAACCCATGTTATAGACATAAAGTAGGAACAATAAAGTGCTCCTAAAAGCATAAGCTCAAACCCTTACAACTTAGAAGAGGGAGCCACCAGGTCACATTGGGGACAATTCATCTATGGAAGTCTGGCCATTGGAACACTGAATGTCCAAATAAACCTATGCAGCTCTCACATATTGGCACCTTCTCCTAAGATACCCTTGGTGGAGCCTCCAGATTTCCTTTCCTTCAGACCAGAAAATGGCTGATGGAAACAGGCCCTCAAGGCACTGCCACTGAGGTCTCCTTTACTCTAGGGCTCAAAATACCCCAAGAAAAATTGTTTTCCAGGGGCTTCTACACTCTGAGCTGTGAAAGGATCAGACTATCCTGAGAGGTCTTTGTTACTGATATTGACCTCTCTCATGGTTTGAAATTTGATGTAACTAGGAACTGATCAAAAAGGAGTAATCTACATGGCAAAACTTCACGGGCAGTGTACAATTAAGAATTTCATCTGAGTGTGGTGGCACATGCTTGTAATCCCAATGACTCAGGAGGCTGGGGCAGGATGATTGAAAGTTCAAGGCCAGTTTCAGCAACTTTGCAAGACCCTCAGCAATTTAGCAAGATCCTGCTCAAAATAAAAAACAAAAAGGGTGGGAATGCAGCTCAGTGGTAAAGAACCCTAGGGTTCAATCCCCGGTAATCCTCCCAACCCCCAAATTTTCATTTTAAGGAAAAATATCTCAAACATTTGTATGATTCTAAGTCAGAAAGATGATACTAGATGAGTGTATTTATTAAAGCTAAAAACTGAAACACAAGATGTTTTTAAACCAAAACTTTCATAGACTTAAGTTCAGAAGGAAAATGTATGTTATCAGCAACACCATCAGAGTTTTATTAACATTTGTAACATCTACCCTTCCATATTGTCTAACCTCGTGAGGTTTCTTCTTTGTGCTTAGGGTGCCATGATGCCCTTCCTCCTCCAGACTGCAAGGCAGTTCTTAGCATCAGCTGTACTGCATGTGAAAGTCAACCTGCGACTCTGAGTTAAGAAATTAAGGCTGTTGGTTACTTAGCTGCAGACTGGCCTGGGTTTCTCACAATGCAAATTCTCCTAAGTCTGAATCTGTGGTCTTTATTTTTCAACCACATACATGCTAAAGTATCCACTGTCTTCATAAGCACCTTCTTTTTTCTCCATAGACTGATATATGCACATGGCTTGTCCCACGTTGGGTCATGCTATTTTTCCATCCAAATGTTTACTATGGATTTTAGGCAGTTAATGTCTGATGATCTCCCAAATGTGGTGTGCAGAGTCCCCACACACTACCTACAATTCCCTCCACAGTATTAGAAATGATTTCATTTTCTTATGAGTGTGAAAGAGTTGGATTGGATAATCCCTCCCAACAACAGGCTTGAGATGTAAAGAGAAGATGGGAGTGGGGGTGGTCTGGACACTGGAAGAGGCTTGAGGGTATAGCAGGCCAACCCCTGTAGCAGCTGTACTGCATGTGAAAGCTTTTTTATTTTTCTATCAGGTATTGAACCCAGGGATGCGTAACCACTGAGCCACATCCCCAGCCTCTTTTATTTTTTGAGATAGGTGTCACTAAGTTGCTTAGGGTCTTGCTAAATTGCTGGGGCTGGCTTTGAACTTGTGATCCTCCTGCCTCAGCTTCCCAAGCTGCTGGGATTACAGGCATGTGCCACTGAACTCAAGGTGAGGTTTCTGAAAGCCAAAGAGCACTCAGAAGGCCCTGTAATGACACAGAGGCCTTGGGACAGCCCCTTTTCTTGTGATTTTTGTGAGGCCATGAGTCAAGGTTCTGATTTGAATGGAGAGGGGGCATGGGCTTCCAGAATGGTAGCCAAAAAAACAAGTGACAAAGGGTACATGGAGGGAGTCTGGTTTTTTACCCTCTTAAATCTAGTTATTCCTGTTTCAGATGATTGAGCAACCTTGTCCTGGGAAATCTGGCACCAAAAACTTTGGTTTTATTCCCATAAGAAATTCTGGGATTTCAGAAGAGGCTGATCTTCAAAGCAATTTTTTTTTTTTTTAAATCTCCAGACTCTGATCAAGCCTCTCAGAGAGTTGCCACTCCACAGGTGTGATGGGTCAAAGCTGAGTTTTCCTAGCCACTGCAGAAAGCTGAAAGTCTCCCGCCACCCACTGCAGAAGAGGTCCCCTGCCAAACTCCTTCTTCCTTGAATAAACACAACAGAGACCGAGTGAGAAGTAGCTACAGTTTAATGCAAACCTGCACCAGAACACAACGTGTCGGGCTGTTTTGTTTTTGCCTCAAACGGTGGCCAAAGCACAGGGCTGTGTGTCATCTTGGGGTTGACACTGTCTTAGCACCATGACATTTACAGAGGAGTGAGGAAGTCACTTGGGTGCTGGAGGCTCCATCCCGACCCCAGGGTGTGCCCGCCGCCTTGGCAGCTGGAGGGGGTTTGGGTTTCCGCGTGGTTCTGTGGTTTCTGGGTCAGTATGGGTCATCATGGCATCGGCTCGACAGAGACCTACTGTGCACTCCTAGCACTACACACACGCACACACACGCACACACGGTAGCACAATTTTCTGGTAACTTAACCCCACAAACCTAGAGAGCAGCTAAGGCAAGAACAACAGTATTTATTCAGTAAGTACAAGACCAGTTTGAGAGCTGCAGTCGGTGCAACCAGAAACCCTTTCCATCCCAGCCGGGAGCCTTCGGGGCTGGGGATGGAGCTGGCTGGGATCTGCACGGGGCAGGGAGTGGATGGTGGGGATGACCATTCGTTTGCTCCTTGAACCTCCTTCTGATTTCCATCTAGAAGCTCCTGGGTGAGGGTCGGGTCTATGCAGGGTGGGAGTGGATGAAGTGGGAGGCCTCCAGTGGGCCCCTCCAAGATGTGGTCTCCCAGCACCCTGGGTCATGCATCTCTTGGGCGGAGGCACTCAGAGAAGGTAAAGCTTTGCTAGCCCAAGCAGGGTGCTCTGCCCAGCTGGCCTCACCACCACTTGGCTCTTTGGCATCTGCCCAAGGCCCATGACCCAGCTAGAGCTGAAAGGGATAAAGATGGTGTGCATTGTACCAGGGGTCAGTGTCACAGTTTCCCTTGTCCATTGTGGCTTTCCCAGGCCTGGGTCCCTACCTACTGTCCCCATAGCTGCCTCTGTTCCCTGGGTTACCATATATCCTTTCAGCCCCTAAGTGAGATTAAGGGGAGTGAAGGGAGGATGTGGATGAAGCTCAAATGACACAGGAGGACCCCAACATTTGGCTAGTCCTGACTCAAACCAAGAATGTGCATTAATTTGTTTACAACAGAGAAAAATCTATTTGTGCAAAACAAAGCAGAATGCCTACCAAGGAGTAAGTCTTCTAGTTAGTTGTTGGTGGGTTTGACAGCAGACACCACCCCATACCTCCTCCTCCATAGCTAGGCTAGAGAGCTATGGTCACAGGGCAGTCATGGGCACTTCTGGGACCAGAGGGTCTAAATTTTCTGGGCCTCAGTTCCATCATCTGTAAAGTGGGAAGAATAATAGGTGTGCTCTATGGTTGTGAGGAGTGAGTGAAATCTTTATATGGAAGAGCTTTGATATGCAGAAGCGCTCTAGAAATGCGCAGGGTATGACCTTTAACCAAGAGTCCAGGGGCCTCCTGAAAGCTTGGGGAGGATCAAACCAAAGGCTCGACATGAAATCACTTCCCGAGGGGGAAACAAGGCTTATCAAGGGGAGGTGGCTGGGCCACTTCCCATACCACTAGGGATAGATGGACATCACCTGCCTCCAGGGCTCCCGTGATAATCTCTATGGAACGTGGGAGATGAGGCCACCAGCCAGTGAAGGTGGGGTGCTGACTACGGGAGTCCACGGCACTTATGCAGTGATGTGGATTTACCATTGTCCCTGTGGATGGCGTCTCCCTCCCTGGCCCTGGGCATTTGGCCAGTCCCTCTTCCACTCCCCCTCTCTCAGCAGGCATGAGGCCTCTTGCCAATCACACAGGAGGAGTGGCCAGGCCTCTGTCCAGCAAGAGGAAGTTACAGGGAGCTGTGTGTGTGTGTTGGGAGTGGTTAGTGCTGGGAATGACCAGGGCCAGAGATGGGAGGGGCTGACCTACTGCCTGAAGGTTTCAAGGGCCAGTGTCCAGGTCCCCTTCTTAGAATGAAGAAAATCCAAATGAAGGAGGGAAGTGGGTCCTGGCCCAGGAAGCCTGGGGGAGGGGCCCGTGCGGCCTGGCCCCATCAACTCTGCCCTGTGCTGTCTGGTTGGTGGCGAGTGCAGCATCTCCTAAGGACCACATCTATTCCTGTTTCTATGCTATGCTAGTGACACGAAGCACCGTTATTTTCCACAGGATGCACAAACAAGTCAAACCAAACCACTGCGCAAACCAAACGTGCAAAACAAAACCATTTACACGCGCCTGGCACCAGCCTTACACCCCTGCCCAGCTACCCCTTGGGGCCTGGGTCTCACAGAGGGTATGGGTTTGGAGCTGAAAGAGGCTGGCAAAGGGCACAGGGTGTCCCAACCACACCCACACCCAGAGTGTCCCGACTACACCCACACAGGACTAGAGGTGCGTTAGGAGAGATAGGATGTCCTAGGCATGGCTGGGAAGCTGACGCCTGTCTGACTTGGGAAATGTCACCAAGGGGCCTAAGGGGGTGGGGGAGGGAGGCCATTACTTATAAAACACATTTGCTAAAGTGCTCTGGACACCTGGTGGGGTGGCCAGGGGCAGGGCACTAGAGTCTGGGCCTTCCCAGAGCCAGCAGAGGTGGCAGTGGTGGGAGGAGGGGCTGGGCCAGGGCTATGCATTGCTCCCCTCCGTGCATAGTGTGGGCTTCTGGGGCCCGGAGAAGCCCCTGCCGCAGGAAGGGAGCACAGCAGGAGGGACAGCTCAAAGTGCCTGTTAGGGTGGCTCGAAGCCCAGCGAATCACGTTCAGATGTGGGGAGGCTCCCCGGTCTGGGGGGGGCCCCCCCGCAGGTGGTGCTGCCAGCCCAGCCTCTCCGGCCCCCTGTAGCTGTGGCCGGAAGGTGTGCAGGTGGGTGGCAGTGGCGCATCCTCACTTGGGGGGCCGGTAAGGGCCTTTACCAAATGCCGCTCGACCTGCCTCCAGGGGGCGCGAGGATCCGAGCTGAGGCTCGCTTTGGAACGTGGTCATCAATCTGAGAACCTGCAGGGAGGGAAGCCGAGGGTGAGCCAAGCAGCCTGCTTGGGTAACAGGCCACGGCTGCCTCCAGGAGACAACCGACTAAATTAAGCCCCTTGTAGGTATTATCTCAACACCATCCCATTTTACAGATGAGGACTCAGGCTCAGGGACAGTGAGTAACTGTCCCTGTTAAGTAGTGGAGCCTGGATTCGAACCTAGGTTTTCCTGACTCATTCTACTCTATCAGCTGGCCCCCTCCCTGTGGGCTTGTGGCCTGCAGCCAGGGCACAGTCTGTCACCATGCAGACCACGGATCAGCCTCTCAGCCAGGACCTCTATACATGTGCCTCAGTGAGTAGGTGAGAGGGGGAGAAGGGAAGACACTCCATTGTTTTGGAAAATGAAAGACCCACGCCCCAAAGGCCCCATATCTGAAATTCCAAAATTTACTTAGAAAGGGAGGGGCTAAACTTAGTGAGACCTTGTCTCAAAATGAAAAACAAAAAGGAAAAGGGGCTGGGGTGTAGCTCAGTGAGAGAGCACCCTGGGTTCAATCCCTAGAGCCAAAAAAAGACAGAAGTGGCCCAGGGAGCACAATGGGGCAGCGGGCAGTCTTTGGCCTGACCCATTTGGAGTAGACAAGAGAGGTGAGGATGGGCTGCCCGAGCCTGCAGTGCTTGAGCAGAGCTCTGCCCAGATGTGGCTCTTGCGTGAGGGCCACAGGGCAGGACTGTACCCAGGCAGCCTAGGGGATTCATACCTCCTGGCCGGTGAGGCCTGAGGGTGCCAGGACAAGTCCTCCAGGCACAGATGCTTCTGACTCTGAGCATTCATGTCCTGTCACAGGTGGAAGTGGCAGTGGCCCTCAGCGTGTTTGTGTGTGTGGATCTTGACCCACAGGTCACCACTACCTCTGATGGGAACTTCACTGCGCTCCTACTGTGCAGGAGGGGCCTCTGCAGGCAGGTTCCTTCACCAGCCCTCACTCAGCCTCTGCCTGTCCTAGGGAGTGGTCTGTGCTCTGGGTGGGATGATGGGGGTCTTACTTTTCTTGCTGTCCCCACCCCAAGCATAGCTCTGGCAGAGAGGACTCTCTCTGGGCTGGTCCTGAGGGCTACTGGGCCGAGGTTGAGAGGACCCAAGCCCCCTGCTCCTTTTAAGCGGTGGTGACAGTTTCCACCAAAGTCTCCAGAAGGACCAAGACATCTCACAGCCTCTACCTCCTCCACTGAAGGCTACCACTTATGAGGCAGTGATCGCATCCCAGTTCCATACAGGGAGGTCCCTGTGCACACATGGCCATGGCTGAGGGGAGCCTAGGGCTCTGCTGTTGGTGTCGGTAGGAGATTATGGCATAAAGAATGGGGACAGAAGGGCTAGGGACATAGCTCAGTAGGGACATAGCTCAGTTGGCAGAGTGCCTGTCTGGCATGCACAAGGCCCTGGTGTTGAGAGCCACAGCCAAAGGGGCCCCAGCAAACTTCCAGCTGCCAGCAAGCTTCAGACTGCCCCAGCAACATCTAGCTGATTGGCTCCTCTGCGGTGATGTTCATTGGGCTGTTTCCCTGCCCTTCAGACTGCCAGCTGATGATTGGCTCACAGCGGCCCCAGCAACATCTAGCTGATTGGCTCCTCCACGGAGCTGCTCATTGGGTGACTTCTTTGGCTCTGCCCACGCAACCCAGCCAATCGGCCTCAAGAGGAGGAGGATTGTGGGAGGTTGAGAGGCTGGTGTGGGGGAGAGAGGCTTGTGGAAGCCGGTGGTGGCAGTTGGGCTCTGAGGGTTTTTCCCTGGAGCTGTTTTGTTTGGCGTTTGTAGTTCTAAAAATAAAGTTAGTTTCTTTTTGACAAGTGGCTCCTGATTTGTGCCAAGCCAGACTTCGGCACCCTGGGTTCAATCCCCAGCAGCACACACAAAAAAAGAATTTGGGGCTGGGGTTGTGGCTCAGTGGTAGAGCACTTGCCTAGCACGCACGAGACACTGGGTTCAATCCTCAGCACCACATAAATGTAAAATAAAGATACTGTGTCCACCTAAAACTTTACAGTATTTCTTTTTTTTAAATTTTAATATTTACTTTTTAGTTTTCGGCAGACACAACATCTTTGTTTATATGTGGTGCTGGGGATCGAACTTGGGCCACACGCATGGCAGGCGAGCGCGCTACCGCTTGAGCCACATCCCCAGCCCCCACCTAAAACTTAAGAATAAATATTAAACAAAAAGAAAAAAAGAACGAGGACAGGACACAGCCAAGGAGCTCAGAGATTCTGCAGACAGACGGGGGCTAGGACATGGCCCAAGGGACAGAGAGATAAGAAAAGAACTGGGAGTCAGAGGTCAAGAGACAGAAAATATTTAAAATAAATAGAGTGTGTGTGTGTGTGTGTGTGTGTGTGTGTGTGTGTGTGTGTATGTGTGTGAGAGAGAGAGAGAGAGAGAGAGAGAGAGAGAGAGAGAGAATTAAATATATATAATATAGTTCCTTTTTTTTTTTTTTTTTAAAGATGGAAACAGAGGAAAAGTGAGGATGGTGAGGCAGGGTCGGAAAGAAACAAAGAGCAGGATGACCGGCCCCCAGAGGAGCTGCCGAGGGCCGTGAACCGCAGCAGCCCGGGCATCGCTGGGCACCCGGTGTGTGGGGAGCCCAGGGGGAGCCCTGTGCTGCTCATCCCTCCCCATATTTGTGTGTCTACAGCAGGCCCAGCGCTCCTCCCGGGGGAGGAGGAGGGATGCCCAGGTCCAGCAGGCCTTCCAGGCCCTGGCCCCGCCATCCCACCCTTACCAGAGAGGCTGAAGCTGGATTCGTGAAGGTCCCGCATGCCCCCGTGCCGGGTGACCGGCCGTGTGGGCGTGTCTGCCAGCGGCGTGCCCATCTCTTTTTTCCCAGGATGCACAACGACAGCGACGTCCCCCAGGTAGGGAGTGCGGTCCACTCCCCTCACCTTTAAGGTCTGGTGAAGGCAAAGGACAATAGTGTCAGAGTCGAGGGAAACGCGAGGGGACCTGAGTCAGGCGTCAGCGGGGCTTCCCGTGCCTCAGCTCAGAGGTTGAGGGTTCTTTTCTTGCTCCCCCTAAACAGCGCCTATGTGCATGTGCTCAGGGCGTCGTGTGCTAGAGAGAGACCCAAGGCTCCCCTCAAAACTGGCGGAACTCTGGTGACTCGTCTAGCGTGGGACAATGCTAGCTCACATGGGACAATGCTACCCCTCTGTGCCGGGCTCCCAAGGGGCCATGCCTTTTACTATGGTCTGATAACTGTGGGAATAGAGGCTCTGGAGCTGATCTGGAGACCCTGAGTTGGAAGGCTAGTTAATCCTATACTCCCCAAACCAGCAGGGTTATGAGCAACCAGGCTGCCTGGGTTCCAATCCTAACGGCCAGTTGTAAGCCGTGTGACAGTGTGTAAATCACTTAATTTCTCCTTCCTCTTTTTGCAACATTAGGATGGTAACTGTACCTACATCACAAGAGTTGTCATGAGATACAATAAATGAATAGGAGTAAAGCTCTTAGAACTGCTCCAGCCCAGGTTGTTTTTGGTGGGCAGGAAGATGTGTGTGGGGGTGTGTGAACGTAAATGTGAAGGAGCAGCAGAGACCATTTACACTCTGCCACCCCTCAGGGATGCAGCGTCAACTGCATTGCTGCTTAATGCTTATTGACAATCTTGTTAAGAGAGAACAGACCTGGGTGATTTCTCAAAGTCCATTCCTTCATGTTCTCTGACAACAGATCAAGTTTTCCTTTTCCAAGTGGGAAAGAGAGTGATCATATGTATCAAGCACTCAGATGCCATTATAAGGACTTGATAGTTATTAACACATTTAATTCTCACACAACTTTATGAGGAAGTGCTGTTATTACCCCATGTGGCAGCTGAGTTCCAGAGAGGTTAAGCAATTTGCTCAAGGTTACACAGCTGTTAAACAGTAGAGCCAGTCCACAAGTCTAACTCTGGGGCTTGCCGGCCAACACTGGCTGCTACACAAGCTGGGTGACATCCTACTTGTTATTGATTTCCAGGCCTTTGCAGCCTTACCCCAAACCTGTTTTTTTTTTCTTTTTCTTTTTGTTGTTGTTCATTAAAAACTCTCTCCATCTATCTATAATCTTGTCACTTTGCCCAATTTTCTGTATCATGTTTTGCAAAAGTAACCCTCCACAGGGGAAGGTAGCTTGATCCCAGCTTTGCTATCAGCGGGGCTTTCTGTCCTTGGGTCCATTGTCAGGTTTCCTGAGCAGCGCTCTGGCTGCTCTGGGCCCCACCTTCCCCACAGCTGACCAGCTGGACATCAGAGATTGCAGTTTCACTGAAGTCCCAAGGTCAAGGTGGAGGAAGGAAGTGTTGCTCAAAAGTGGAGATGTGGTCTTCCTAGGTTGCTGGGCAGGCAGAACAAATTCCAGACACCCGGTCTGTGGCGGAAGATCAGGTTCCTTAAACGGACAGCGTTAAGGACTCTGTGGTCTAAGTGGGACTTAGTCACACTGCACATTTGGCAGGGTCTGGACCTCAAGGCTTCCTGAGTCTCAGCTGGGGCGCTGCATTCATGAGACAGCAAGAACATCCTCAAGATTGGCAGACCTTCCTCTGTAGTATATTTCTGAGAACATGGGGACTCAGGTGCCCTCCCAGCGGGCAGGTTCCATCCCTTGGTCTGACCTGCAAACACAGTCTGTGCCTTTCCCCCTACTTGCTGCTTCTTGGAACAGTCACTGGCCTTGGCCCACAAGCTCTGGGGAGCTTCCTCCTGAGGCCCGGGGCTGCTCCCCCACCCACTGGCCCACAGTGAGGAGGATGGCTCCTAGAAGTCTGAGACGCGTCTTTGGCTCTTTTCATCCTATTTCCTGACTATATTTGTTCAGGAATTGCCATGGACCCTTGTCAGAGATGATTCTTCTTTTTTAGTTGAGACATAATCAGAATATTACACAATTCACAATGTAAAGTATAAAATCTAGTGGGATTTAGTATTTCACAAGGTTTTCTACTGTTGCCACTAATTCCAAAACATTTTCATTATCCTGCAAAGAAAACTTATCACTCCTTTTTCTCCCCTTCTCCCAGTCCTAAATAACCACTAATCTATTTTCTGTCTACGGATTGTATTTTATTCTGGACGTTTCATATACTATCATATAATATGTTATCTTTTGTATTGGGCTTCTTTGACTCAGAATAACAGATTTATCCACATTGAATGTACTGTTTTTATCCATCTTTATTCCTTTTTGTGGCTGAATCATATTTCACTGGATGGATATATCACAAGTTTACCCTTTCAACAGCTGATGGACATTTGGGTTGTTGCTACTTTTGGGCTTTTATCCATAGTGTTATATGAATGATTAGGTGCATGTTTTTGCATGGACATGTTTTCATCTCTCTTAGGTAGAAACCTGAGGGTAGAATTGCTGGGTCATATGCTAACTGTCTATTTAACTTTTGGGGAAAGTGCAAAACTCTTCCACTGTGGCTGAACCATTTTACATTCCTTCCAGCAAAGACTGAGGGTTCCAGTTTCTCCACATTCTCGCCCACACTTGTTATTCTCCTGTGTTCCGAATATGGCCTCCCTCGGTCAGACAATCTTAAGTGCAGATGCCCTGCTTTTCCAGCTCTTTCTGGCACCTTCTCCAGAGGCTGAGGCCTCCTCCTGCCCACTGTCTAAGTATGGGGATCAGCACCTTAAGATGAATCTATTTGCCGGCCTGCCTGAGACACCCTGAGTTTGTGCTTGGATTCAATGCTATGGTAACTAAAGTCACGCCTGTTTCTGGCAGCCCAAGCCTCCTCCCCCACAGTGCTCTATACTGATGGGGTTCTGTACCGTTGGCCTCAGTGACTCAGGGAGCTCAGGCCCTCTCATGTGGAGAGCTTTCCAGCAGTCTTGGTCTTGAGAGTCAGCAGACCTGCTTCCCCTTATGCTCTGGATGACGGCCTTCGAATGTCCGCTCCACCCACCTTCACTCATAGAAAGTGTGGGAGGAAGCAAAGGCTGTCACTCCAGGGCCAGCCTGTGTATAAAAGGATCTCAGTGGTCACAGACACACGTTTCCCTAGTGTGTCCAGGAACTCAGGACTCCCTGCTTGCCTGTTCTTAAAAAATTCTATCTGGTAATCAAAGATGGGAAATGGAAACCAGAATTTTCCAACTCTAGCATTCTCCCTTGTCCTGCCTTCTCAACACTGGCTAGATGGCAACAGGACTTTAAAACAGTCACATGAGCTGTCCACCAGTGGAAGCTTTGACCTCTTCCCACCCATCTTCCTGCCCTGCCCACCTCACCTTCTCTCTCTGGACCAGTTTCTTGTAGACAGTGTCTGGGAAGGACCGTAGGGGACAGAACTTGCCGGTGCCCTCGGCACACATGAAGACACCGTTCTCATACACAACACGCCCCCGGCTGATGGTGACCAGCGGCACGCCATGGCAGCGCATGTTCTCATACAGGTTGAAGTCCCCTCCTTGAACCTGGGTGCTGGCGGAGATGGTCCTGGTGGGAGGCAACGGTGGGAGAAAAGGCTCTGAGAAGAGGTCAAGATGCCACCCCTTGATGGAAAGGGATGACAGCGCATGGGAAGGGATGGCCTGCAAAGGCTGGTTGTCATGGGCTGAACTCTGACCCCTCAAAAGTTACATTTTGAAGGCTTAATCCCGGGACCCCAGGATGTGACCATCTTTGGAGACAGGGCAGTTAGCAAGGTAACTAAGGCAAAAACGAGCTCACAGGACAGGTGGGTCTCAATCCAGTCTGATTGGGATCCTTATAAAAAGAGGAGACACCAAACATGAGGTGCCCAGAGGAAACAGAGGGAGAAGATGGCCATCAGTAAGCCAGGGTCACATTCTCTAGGCCAGAAGTGGTGCGGAGACCATCTGCTTTGGGAGTTCTCCAATACAAGCTCTTTGAAATCCCAAGTCCCCTTAGCCCTGGAGACCAGCAGCAAGTTTTACTTTGTGGCTTCCGGGTCCCACACCACCACGTCGGCATCAGCTCCCGGGATGATGCGGCCCTTGCGGGGATACAGGTTGAGAATCTTAGCCGCGTTGGAACTGGTAACAGCCACGAAACGGTTCTCGTCCATCTTTCCTCCAACCTGGAACATTGTAGAGGAGTCACATCAACCAGGCTCCAGGTGGGCACCCCTCATCCTGGTCACTTTTGACCCTGGCCCTGTGGCCTTTTAGATCAGGGTATGACAATTATGATCCTAAGGAGGACACTGCCGTGAGCACCGTCTCAGATCAGCCAAGGAGCCAGGCGTAGTCTACTCCTGTGCCCACTAGGGACGCGTCAGGGCCTCCCTTTATCTGCAAACGGGTTACAGTAGTTCTCCCTTTTCTGTGAGGGAGATGTTCCAAGACTCCCCAGTGCAGGCTTGAAACTGCAGAGAGTACTGGGCCCTATGTAGCCTGTGCTTTCTCCTATACATACAAAGCTGTGAAAAAAATTTAACTTATAAATTAGGAACAACAATAGATTAATAATAATAACCAATAATAAAACAACAATTATAATAATAGACTGTAATACAATTATTTTAAACTTATGAATTACTTATTTCTGGAATTTTCCATTTGTTACTTTTGGACTGAGTTTGATGGAATGTAGCTAAAATGGTGGAAAGTGGCACTGGATAAGAGAGTACATAATGAGGTGTATTTCTGTGCTCTGGAGAAGCATCCTACTACCCCAGCCTCCCTCCCTGAAGTGCGGACTCCCCTCAAGGGGCCCTGAGCCAGCTCATGGGCCTCCTCTGAGCTGGGGGACTTCAAATCTCTTTCAGCTCATATTTTGTGTTGAGTTTAATCCGTGATAGATCAAGACCAAAAATAACTTATTCTTCATGGGCAGAACAGGTGGTATTCAAATGCAGTCCCTATCTTTTTTGAAATTCAATTAGATAAAATATACCAAGAACCTTACAAATGTTATATCCCTTGGTTCAGAAATCGACTTCTAGGAATCTATCCTACGGGAGCATTAGAAATACTGACATACACTCATGAACAAAGTGGTTCTCTATGGCATTATTAAGTACAAAAATTTGAAACAGCCCAAGTTCTGAATACCAGGAAGGATTAAATAAAGCACAGTACTTCAACTGGAGGGAATATTATTCAGCCTTCAAAAGATGTTTAAAAGACCTTTTACTGATATAAGACATTCAAGATATACTAATTACCAAGAAAAAAGATATCCCCAGTTCTTAAAATAATGTATGGTACACACCTCAAACTAGAAAGAAATACACCAAAATGTTAATAGTTTAATTTCTAGGCCTGGAATGACAGGAATTGTTTTCCTATACTTTTCTGTATTTTCCCAATTTTTATAATAAGTCTTATCACCTTTCTAATCAGGGGAGAAAAGACCTTTTTTGTGTCATGGATTTTTTGTTTTGTTTTGAAGCTGGGGATCGAACCCGGGCCCTTGCACCTGCCAAGCATATTTTCTACCACCGAGCTCACCTTGAGCTTTTTCTTTTTCTTTTGGGTACCGGGGATTAAACTCAGGGGCACTTGACCACTGAGCCACATCCCCAGCCCTATTTTTGTATTTTATTAGAGACAGGATCTCACTGAGTTGCTTAGCACCTCACTAAATTGCTGAGGCTGGCTCTGAACTCATGATCCTCCTGCCTCCCCCTCCCAAACTACTAGGATTATAGGCGTATGCCCCCGCACCCAGCTGAGCTTTTTCTTTTTAATTTTTTTCGTAGTTGTAGACGAGCAGCATGCCTTTATTTCATTTATTTTTGTATGTGGTACTAAGGCTCGAACCCAGTGCCTCACACATACTAGGCAAGTGCTCTGCCACTGAGTCCCAGCCCCAGCCCCACCCTGAGCTTTTTGTTTTTGGGTGGAATAAGGAGCTGTGGCTGAAGCAGCCCTCCTGAAGATGGTCTTTGGCAGGGTCCTCAGAGTGAAAACTTGCCCCCAGCCCCCAGGAGCCAGGTCCCGAGACACGTACCACTCCTCTCTCCCAGATGACGCTCATGCGGTCCTGCACGCCGCTCACCCCGTGCGGGATCTTGGTGAAGTCCTCCTTGCCCATAGCTTTCTGCTTCGTGGTGAATGGCCGGTGATCTGATGCCACAATGTTCAGAGTGTCACTGGGGAGAGAAAAGCAAACAACCAATGAGGGGAGGGGAGGCCAGGGTCCCCAGAGGGAGGGATAGGTACAGGGGAAAAGCCTGTGCTTGGGAACCAGGCTAAGCTGACTCCGGTCTTAGCTGTGCCATTTAGTAGCTGTGTGACCTATAATGAGTTCGCCTAAGTGAATTCCAGTTTACCCATCTACAGAATGGGAATATGTGCAGTACGTGTCACAGGAGACTTTAGTGACAGCCTTTGAGAAGGCGATTTTTATGAGACAGGGCAGAGAACAACTGAACTTTGGGTTCAGCTGAAATGAAATGACAGAGGTGGTTTTCTATCATGGAACCGAACGCCAGAATTCCTCTCATCAGTTCCCCCTGAGACCCCCAACCCTGTTGGCAGCAAGCAGGTGCCAGTGAGACATTCACAAGTTCAATGTGAAGCTTTGGTGAGTGGCTTGGAGCCACAGTCTTCTATGGATGCAGAGGCTCTAAACACCCAGAAGAGAAAGAGGGACAACAGAAGAGAAAGGGACATCATTGACATGGTCTGAAAGTTGATTGGTTCGTCACTAATGCTGTCCATGCTCACGGTCCTCAGACGGTTATTAGGGTTGTGGATGCATAAGGCACAGGCCAGGCTTGCAATGGCTTGCAGGATGGCTAAGACTCAGGACAAGACACACGGTGGCCTGCCCTCTGCCAAAGGAGGAGGAAGGCAGCTGGCCCCTACTTGAGATATCTGTGGGCAGAGGGCTCAGAGGCTGTGAGGAGCAGAGAGAGAGAAAGCCCATGTCAACAAGGTCAGGCAACCCTGGGAAGAAATGCCCTAGGAGGGCAGGAGGCCAGGGAACTGCTGGAGCGCACAGTGGGGCCCTCGTGGGTCTGCTGCAGGAGCCTCATTTTGCCCTGTGGGAGGCACAAGGTGAGTGTGCACAGGCCACCTACGATGCTGGCTTTGAAGGGGAATCTGGAGCAGAAGGCCCCCTGGTGGGGTCAGGAGGCATAATCTTGAGGCTCTCAAGACAACAGCCAGCCAACACCACGCATGGGCTATCTCCACCGGGCCTGGCAGGCTCATCAGTTTCAGCTCTTGCCAAATGATTGATGTGCTTGGTCAAATCCACAGTAAGATGACTTAGCCCTTTCTGCAACTGAGGCTAACAATCCCCTAGACTTCAGACACAGCGGAAGAGACTCTTGCACTGAGCAGAGGGTGTGTTCTAGAGCCCCATGGCTCCCCGTGTTCTCCACACCTGCAAAACCCACCAGACAGCGGGATCTCCAGGGCTTTCACGGTCTCTCTAGGAGCCTCCAGATACCAGGAATGGCTTAAATCAGGAAAGACCCCACCACAGAGTCAGGGGTTGCAGGTCAGGACCTTGCAGCATGGAATAGATGCCTAACTTTCTCAGAAGGCTCCCCATCAAGTAGGAAGGTGAGAATGAATGCATTACTTTCTGGAAGAGCATTTGAGTTCTCCTAGTACTGCCCCAAATCTGGGAGATGGAAAATACCCATCCAAAATCTTCAAAGCTTAAAAATAAGACTGGGTTTGTCAAAGATGTACTTCAATGTTTTACATGTTCAAATGAAAAAAAAAAAAAATTCTGGGCCTTTTAAGAAGACAGATTTTTTAAAATATATTTTTTAGTTGTAGTTGACACAATGTCTTTATTTTATTTTTATGTGGCACTGAGGATTGAACCCAGAGCCTTGCACATGCCAGGCAAGCGCTCTACCACTAAGCCACAACCCTAGCCCCAAGAAAGATTTTTAAATAAAGGACAAATCCTCATATGTATAGATTGTGGGTTTTTTTTCCTATTCAGCATATGACATCACATCTTAAAATAGATAATGATAGAGTAGCTCTTATTCTCTTTTAGCAATAATAATTGGTGTCTGGGTTTTCTATCAAGTATTTTGCATCATGGAAATTACACCAACAATATATTATATAGGCAAAATTATAGTAACCACAAATTTCTATAAATAATTAAAGTGTGAAAAGTACGCTCCAAATCCTATAAAATACAATATGTACTGATTAAAAAGGGTTTCAGATAATTCTAACAAATAAAATTGAAATTCTTCTTAAATGAATAGAATTTATTTAAATTCTGGGACAAAATAGGCTAGATATAAACACTTCAGTTATTCAATTAATAATTCTTGATTTGTGTGGGTTTGGGGCACTTATTATCTTTTGCTATTGCAGTAAATTTGCTTGTACCAAGTGGAGGCATTTCAAAAGATTCTCTGACTTTGGAACCAAGCCCAAGTTATTATATATGGTGGATTGTTAATAATTATGAAAAGGAGGTTGGTTTCTCCCAAGGAAAAGCAGACCCAGCGCATTCTCTCTTTACCTCTTTACCCTCTGAATTTGTCTAATAAATCTGTAAGAACTGCTGCTGCTGCTGCCTAGCACCACACCCAAACAATGAGACTGATTCTAACTACTGCCACTAGACCATGGTGCACACTGGCCTCTACCCCAGACTCCATTCCACGGAAAGCCCCCTCCCCACACTTCTCTTTAGGGCCTTAACATGTCAAGTGTTGAGATTCTAGTTGTTGGCAACCAGGACTGAAAACCAAGGACAGGGATGAATTAAGTGCCGCATGATCTAAAGAGAACCACCTTCCATTAGGGCCTATCATCTCCTTCAACTCCCTTGCATCATCTCAGAAGAGATACCTTTGCCTTCCCCCAGCCCCTGGTCTATGGAAGACAGAGCGTCCACTGGATGCAGTGACTTGGTGTCTTGCTCTGCCTCCTATTCCAGGTGCAGCTCTGCTCCCAGACTCTCCACCCCAGCATCAAGTAGAAGCATTTCAAGAGGGCAGAGGAGACAGCGATGGGCACTTGCTGGGGCAGTGGACTGGCAGCTCTGCCCCTAAGCTCTGGGTGAGGAGTGCTGGGGAAGGTGGGCCAAGCTCTGTAAGCTTCCAGACATACACTGCCTTGCCAGGGTCCTCGCTAGATTGTCTTTTAAACTAGATGTCACTTTAACCGCCAAAAATGAAGACAAAGCAATGGCTCCTCCCCCAATGTCACTAGAAAAGAGAAAGAAGCTGCAGGAAGTTACTGGGACAAAACAATTTTTTTTTTTTTTGGTACCAGGGATTGAACCCAGGGGTGCTCAACCACTGAGCCACATCCCCAGCCCTTTTTTTTTCTTTTTTGAGACAGGGTCTTTCTGAGTTGCTGAGACTGGCCTTGAACTTACGATTCTCAAAATCTTTTCATGGCTCTGCCTTACTGAATTCCGACTGTTCACTGGACCATCTTCTTCAGTTTAGGACGGAACAGGGAAAGGCTGTGCTAGAGAGGTGCTGGAGGGAAGGGGACCTGGAGGGAAGGTGGGAAGAGAAGAGGGAAAAGGAAAAAAGGGAGGAGAGGGAAGAAAGAAGCGAAAGACACACAGAAAGAGGAAGAGAGAGATGCAGGGGGAGAGAAAAAGGACCCTTCCTATGGGCCACATCCTCCAGCTCCCCACTGGGCTTTGGAGTGTCATTGTCCTTTGCAATGCTGACTCACCACTGCCCTCAGCTCTCCAACCCTTCCTTCTCACACCCCAGAAGCTCCCTCTCAAGAGGTCAGAGAAGCCCAAGGGATTATGATGGGCTCAGGAGAGGGAAATACAAGAAACGCATCTCACGGGCACAACAAAACCAAACCTAGGTCAGGTCTGTTTCCTGGACTCTGGGACATCTTCCTAAAGACCTATGAATCCCCTGTGGGGCACGCACAGTGGGCCGATGGCTGTGTGGTCCTGCTGGAATGTCTTACTTGGCCAGCAGACTCATGAGGTAGGTGGAGGTGTTGGTGTCCAGTCTCAAAGGAGGCACGGTGACATAGGCGGCCGCATGGGACCAGTCCTGGTGGTAGTAGTGCAAGCCTGTCAGTGTGGCATGTGCGGTGGTGGTCTCAGCCAGCACCACCTTCCCTGGAAGAAAAAGGGGCAAAATTGTAACTTGGAAGCCACTGAGCCCAAGAGATCACTGGCCCGAGCCTCTCGTTTAGAGCTGAAGGAGCTGAAGGCGGAGAAGGGAAGGGACTTCCCCAAGCTTACTGGGGCATCTGAAAGCCTGGCTCGGTCCAAGTCCAGGGACTTCCCTATTGTCCTGCTAACTCTGGGCAAGGGGAACAGCAGGGCGTAGGCTCTGAGGCCAGGGAGCACAGAGCAACGCTTTGAGGAACCCAGTTTGGCCAGGGTGTGTGTAGGGTACCGCAGGGAGCTGAGGCTTGGTGGTGACTGGCAGGAGGCAGGGCATGAAACCTGGGAAAAGGGGCAGCCTGGCCTGTTTCTGAGCTGGCAGGTGCTGTGAGCAGCTCCAAAAGAACTGCTGGGGTGGGATCTGTAGTAAGGCTAGACGGCAGGGAGATATGAGGGGGATCCACCCAGCAGGGTGGGGCAAGAATCCAGTGGGATCCCAACAAGGGGCTTCAATTAGGGGAGAGGCAAAGGGTGGGGCCTAGAAGGTAAAACTGTGGAACTCTGGGGTGATTTTGCTTCTGACTGACATCCCTAGGGTGGTGACCATGACTTTGTTTTCCCTGTTACTAGGCCCTTGCCAGCACCCTGTGCTGGGTGGACCACACACAGCCATAAAGCAGGTACTGCCAGGGGATCAGCACTGGGAGCTACACGAGTGCCCTGCAGGGCTTGCACATAGGGCTCCAGATGGCTGGAAAGGGAAGTTGGGCTCACACACTGTCATTCCTCCAGGGACTTCCTTACACCCCCGGAAATGCCCACTGGAATTGGCCCAGGGTTTTATGGTAGTTGTCAAGGCAACTGTTAGTAAAATCTGAGGCCAAAAAGACACTAATTAATGAGTCAATTTAAAACTTAGATCATTTTATCAGACCCAGGCGAGGTGACAGACATTTCTGCAAAGCTGTTACACTTACAAATGTGCGGAGGAGAAAACTCCTGTTTCACAGAATGAACCCAAGCGAGGGCGGGGCACTCTGAGGCCCACAGGAGCACAGAACAGGGAAGAGTGGGTACACATCCCGACCTCAGAAGCCAGGCCTGAGCGTGCACTGAGCTGGTGTGCCCTGCAGTTCTCCAATCCACAACACAACATGCACCCAAGCCTGAGCACTTACCTTGCATCTTAGCAGCTGCAATAACGTCACCAGCAGAGATGCTGGACACATTGACCAGGTAGATGGGACAGTGAGTCTAAATACAAGAAATGCAGGAAGTAGAGCATCAACCCCCAAACAGGTAACAAGCACCAAATTAACCCTGGAACAATCAGTCCCAGCATGGGCATCACCACTGGCCCATGTCACTCAACCCCACTGTCCAGGTGACAGTCTTATGCTGGGATGTAGGGCTGGCTGCAAGGAGGCAGCAGGTGGCAGCCAGCAGCAGATCCTGCCAGGGAGGCCAACCCTGGAGGCAACCTCAGGTCAAGACAGTCGAATCTGAACCTCCCATTTTCTCCCATCCAACGGCCTGGACTGTAATTTAAAGGGAGGGACTGTTTTTCCTATTTCAACTTCCTGTTTATAAACATGATGACCTAGAGATAGTAGTGTATTGTATCCTATATCTAAAATTACAATGCCTGCTGTCTACAGGCTGCCCTATCAGGAGACAGCCTGGGGAAGAACAAAATACAACAGGGTCAGGGTTCAGAGTGTAGGACAGACAAGACCATCTTGTGAGTGGACACCTAGATTGTCAAATTGATTAGCTTTTCCTCTGTTGAACTGTGTGGCTATGGCGCATGGCTTACCTTCTCTGGGCACATGTTTGAGTTAGAAACCAAAGAGCTGCCTTTTCATTGTTCTAGTCTTTCCTTATTCTGGGGTAAATTCCCATCAGGAGGTAATTGCTAAAGTAACTATTGTCACAATAAATGAAATAAGGTCCTTGTCTAACTGCCAGAGCTATAAAGAGCTAATAGAAACTGTTTCATCAAATGTTATTTGGATGCTTTCTTTGCTAATCAAATTAGGAGGATATAAGAGTTTAGGAACTGGCTTTATATCATGTGCATGTTACAAGTCAACTGATTAATTCTGGGGCTGAATGACTTACAGCCTCTTTGTCCCCCACTGCCACCAAATTCTTAAGACCACATCTCCCAGATTATAGGCTTTGGGTGGCCCAGGCCATTCCAGAAGGGAAGGTCCTATAGGATCACTGGGGGGCTTATTATATACAAATTGCTGGAAATCACCCTGTTTCTGATTTAGTGGGAATTTGTGCTTCCAAGTCCCTAATTCTGATAAATGATGCTGATACTGCAGGTCCAGAGACCACGGGGTGAAAGCTGCTGTTCTGGAGGCAGTAGTCAGATTATCTGAGCAAATCGACTCCTTCAGCACTGGCTTGGGGGCAATGACCTGCCTGGGCTCTACTGTCTGTGAAGTGCTTTCCCTTCCTGGGCTCCTTTGATCTTACAACTCCCCTGTGAAAAGCAAGTGACACTATTATTCCAACTTTATATAATGAGATAGCAGATCAGAGAGCATGTGGTCAAAAGCTGAGGTTAGGTGAAGGCCGAGTCTGGAACTCTGACATCACCGTCCCGTCATCACCCTCCACCAGTGCCTTCTCAACCCTGCGGGGGCTTTACCTGAACTAGACCAAGGAAAAATGTTCAAAAACAACGATGTAGCAGCAGAGGTCTAATTGTGATTTTCTAAACTATAAGTCTACCTGTTCCTCCAAAAGGAATAAGATTCCAGTTGCAGAGAGTCTCGGGGTTCCCCCACCTTCCTCTGCCTCCCTGGGCCATTTACCCTTGAGCAATGAACTAGGGCTTCAGTTAGCTCAAGTCAGTGGAACAGAGAGCAATAACACTCCACTCAGCAAACAGCTGGGGCCCTGGGGGCCACAGCAGAGTGAGGCCACTCTGGGATCCCGGCTACTTACCCTGTTGGCAATGGTGATGACTCGGTGAGTTGCTTCTGCTTCCAGCTGTTAGAAACAAAGAACAGGAAGGAACCCAGCTTCAGCATCTCCTTGAGCCACAATAGCCTTGGAGGGATGCCAGGAGGGGCTGGCTGTACCCTCAGGGGCTGATGGGGTTGAGGGTTGAGGGCAAGGCCTGGCCACTAGGCTCCAAAAACTTCTGCTCCAATGGAGAGAGGGTCCTGGGACTTAGAATACTATGCACATCCTTGCTGGACGCTACTCAGGGCATAGTTAAAAGGCACCGCTGTAATCCCATCGGCTGGTACCAGCGGTTCCCTTTAACCGGCAGATGTTGTTGTTTGTCATCACCTCAGTGAAAGCCTTGCTCTTTCCTCATGTAACCTAACAAAGCAAGTACAGGCCTGGGCACATCCCTGCTCACCCGTTCTCATGGGCACCCTCAGGCGACTGACTGTTATTTGGTGCATCCTTCTCTACCAATTCTGAGGTGCCCAAACAGGACCTATATTCAGAGACAGGTGCAGGGCAGGAGGAAGGCGGGCCACCATGGCTCCTGGGTGATAGTGGGACCACAAATCCCATCTCCTTGACATTGTTAATATCCAACCACCACTCTACATTTGAGGAAAGGAAAAGCACTTTCCCTTACACATAGTAGAGGATGTCGGAACACTCACGGGGCAAGAAGGCATTGTTTATCTGATACAGAACCTCCAGAGCAGAATTCTGTAGCAGGGGCACTATGTGTGTCAATACCCTGCAAAACTGTATGCAAAGATAAAAATCAGAAGGCAGAGGAGAAAGGGCTTTTAATTTCTTTAAAATTTTTAAAATTTGTTCTTTTTAGATATACATGTCAGTAGAATGTGTTTTGACATATTATACATACATGGAGTATAACTTATTCTATTTAGGATTCCATTCTTGTGGTTGTACATGATGTGGAGTTTTACTGGTGGTGTATTAATATATGAACATAGGAAAGTTATGTAATTAATTCTGCTGTCAGGGCTTTTAATTTCCATCTCAATGAGTAAGCAGGGCAGAAGAGCACAGACAGGCAGGTGCCCCTCGTTTCTGGTGGGAATGGTCCAAGGTGCTCCTCAGATGGGATCTGATTCCCCACATGCTAAGACCCTGACTTATGGTTTGGACTTCCTTCTAGCATCCAAAATCCCTTTCAGTCTCTCTGTCTCCTGATTCAGTTTTGGGCAAAGCAACTCCTAGAACCGATGACATTTTCCCCAGAATCAAATGGGGTGGGGTCTTTATGATGCCCCACAACTATCTCTTTTAAGGAAGCTCGAGATCAGGTTGGCCTCAGCATGGAGGAAGTTGAACCCTGGGAAGCTTCCAGATGGAAATTTCACCCAGAGAGGAAGTGATATGAGTTATATTCTTGACCCCTCTTCCATCCTACAAGATTCTGTGAGCCTGCAGGAGAGAAGCTGACAGAGGACACAGGAGCTCTTCCTTACCTCCTCTGGACGGCTGATCTCGATTCCTTCGGGGCCTGTGATACCCAAATCTAGTGCCTCCTTAGCACCCTAAATAATAGCAAAGGAAAACTGAATCATAGAAATACAAGAAAATACCTAATCCAAAGGACAAAACGTATGCTAGACACTGCTATCCTCAAGGGGTGGCCACAGCCCTTATTTCTATAACACTTGTCTTCAGAAGAGGAAACCCATGACCCCAATAGTAAGTGAGGACCTTCCTGCTCTCACTTCTTTACTGCCAAGCTACACTCCAGGCCCGATTCTTCTTCTTAATGGCAGACATACATTTTTCTGTTAAAAATATAATTCCATAACTAGCCAACAGGACAGGGATGCCAAAGACAAACACTGTTGATTGGCTTGAAAGTCAGTATTTCCTCACTGGAAGTCTAGATACTCTAGCTTCAGCAACTCCTAGACCAACCCTCATCCCAAGACCCAGGAGAATCCAGAGGTCTATCCTTCTTGGCATCAGAGAATAGATCTCTATACTAATTCAGTTCCTCCAAAGAGATATAGGAAGGTAGAAAGCTTGATTCTTGTTTGTTCTGTATGTCAAATCTCATGAAAAATATCTCTAAGAGGTGTTCCAAACTCTTTTGTGATAATGGACTTTAAACATCTTGCCATTAGAACTTAAAAAAGAGGTATTTCCTTTTAATATACAGTATATAAGTTTGGATTTTCTGACTACCATTTGGCACCGACAGTGTTTGCATCTCACAATTCTTTTATAACTTGTTTTGCCTGAATCTTGCAGTATCAGCGACAGGTGGTCAGGACACTCCTCCTCACACCCCCAACAAATTGTCCCCACTGGTGCCACCCCATCTGCCTCCCTCTCCTGCACACTTGCCTCGGCCACAAGCTCCCCATTTTCAGCATGGACTCGGGGGATGGCCCCGATGTCCTTGCAAGCATGTAACACTTGGTATAACTCGTTGTCCCGAAGCATGTACAAGTCCTTGTAGGTCATGAACATCTGGAATGAGTTGACGCCTTTCTCTCTCACCAGGGTTTCCATTTCTGCTTTTACCTGGAGAGTATAACGCAAGGTAATGCCAGGTGAGTACTGAGATCCCAGAGGCGATGGGGCAGGCACTGGCCCAGCATGGATACTCAGGGCCAGTCCCAGCTCTGCAGGTCAAATCACCTTATGACTCCCCTCAACCTCGCAGTGTCTCACTGTCCTTCCACCCCAGGCTGCTGTGAAGTCACTTGACCAAGAGGATGCCTAAGTCCTTTGAACTTAGATTATAAACTGTGTTCTTAGATTATCAACATGCTTTTCCCATCACACAGACTTGTCCTGGGTCTGCACCTCCAAGCCAGCCTCCTTGATAAATGTAGGAAAAACAACTTTTATTCTTGTGGTCTGTTCCCCAGCCCCCAGAGTGGAAGTGGGGTCACAAAGAAGGCATACTTACACTAAAAAACCAGAGACTGGGAAAATCAAATTAGGAACAAAACAAAACATGAACAAAGCTATGCAAATAAGGGCATTCATCCGAACATTATTTATGTTAGGGGGGAAAAATGGAAGCAACATTGTTCTAATGGTAGGAAACCAACTTGAGGTTCATTTGCTTGCTAGAATGTTAGGTGGCCATTAACATCAAAGCTCATAAAGACTGTGCAACAAAAATAGAGAGTGCTCACAGAGCTGCTATGGAAATGCATGGACTAGACTGAAAGAAATAAGCCTAAATGGATTATGTGTTTCCTTTTTTATAAAAAAGATGTGATTAAAAAATGATGTTATTAAAAAAGAATTTAGAATTTTAGATAAATGAATGTCTACACAACCTCTGGCAACTTAGGGGCAGCTGATCTGGCCCTAGTGTTGCTGGGAATCTGCAAGGGTCCTCAGTTTCAGGCCAATTCCAGGGGGAGGCAGAGGGGCTCCAAGTAGGGGTCACAGCCCAGAAGGGTGTCCAGAAAGGAGACTCCCATCTGAGATAAGCATGCTCTGCACCATTAGCCTGGTACAATCAGGGGGGCCTTCGTGTGTGAGGGTCTCACTTTCCATAAGTAACAGGTAGGAAATGATGAGAGAGGCTGGGCAAGTCCCCAACTCAAGGCTAATACCAGAAGGGCAGAGGTAGAATGGGGCTTTTAGTTACCATCTCAGAAAGGGGTTGGAGGACCCTTTAGACTAGGGTCCACAATTGTACATTTTGTGAAGCTTACATGTTAGTTATGGTATGGGGCATCCACCAAACTACTGGCACATTGAGCTTAATAAATAAGGGAAGAATGAATGCACAGTCTACTTCCCTGGGTAATAAGCAATAAAACTCCAGCAATGAAGCAAAACCTGAATGCCTATATACTATTTTCAGGAAGAAAAAGGAAGTAGGAATCCAGGGAGAAGAGGCTGGGCTCTGGCCCTTGGTCCTGGGCAGGGGGAGGATAGGAAAGCTAGAGGCCAAGGGCAGAGACACAACATGGGCTCAGAAGCTGGACTGAGAAAGGGCTCAGAGGCAACCAGCCTCAGGGCAGTCCAGGACAGGTTCAAGTCTTCTCCCAGTAAACGCTAGGCTCCTATAGGAAAGAAGCATCCCCTGGGCCATTTGTCCCAGGCAATGTTGAGCCAGGACATGAATGACCCTCAGTTTAGAGACCTCAGCTCAGTGTTATCAACTCCCAGTACAAACAGGACACCACCCTCTGCACCTGAGCTGTCTCGGCCAGCCAACTGGCATGCTCCCCATTAGACGCCAGTGACACCTCATATGACATAATATGCTGAAAGCCTATGGTCAGAGCAAGGAGCCAGTGCTCTTGAGGCCTGGCCTCTGGTCCCTAGCCTTGGACTCTGTTGCAGCCTGGCACTCCCTGTGTCTGCTGCAATATGGGTAAAGCAGGGTAGGCCCACCCACTGTCCTTGTGGAACCCCAGGTCAGTTGCTTTGGCAAGTGGGGGCATTAGTGGGCATCCCTCCCCACCCAGGCAGGAGAGCACCAGGGCCCAGCTGGCTGAGTCCAGATGGCCCCTTTGCCCACAAGACCTCTCATGCCTTCTTTGAAGATTCTACCAGCAGAAGTACCTTGGGTGCCCACCAGGTGATCCCCACATGGAGGGCGTAGTCACAGCAGACCTTGGGGTCGGCGAGACCCCTGCACTTCTCATAGGCATCCACGAGAGAGGTCTCCTTGTCAGGCAGGACGTGGCCAATGATCATGGTGGTGCCTCCAACAAGCGCTGCCTGAGGAAGAGAGGAAAAAGCAGTCTTGTCACGGTTCTACCTGAACCCAAGTCACTGATGTGGCAAGATGTGGTCCTGAGGGACACTCAGGTCAACCACAGAGCCTACCTCCCAAGAGGCTGTGAGGACTAAAGGCAGCAAGGTTTGGGAAACCTTAGTGGTTGCACCAAGGACAGAGCCAGTGTGTGACTGAATGCCATCCGTTCCTTATTATTACTGTGGGTCCAGCACACAAGCCTGTCTCTTCCCCATTCGGGTTTCAATTTGCTATCCTGGGAAACAACTTAGTGTGTCACCACGCCCAGAGCAATCTCTATTTGCCAGGTAGGATCTCCCCCAGATGACTTTTTGTCAACCTGAATACAAAGATGACACAATCAAATGCTATCATATAATTTAATGTAATATAAAGCATAACCAAATGTCCATTTGTAACATTTGCTAATTTAGTTATACACAAATACTTAAACCACAAGGTATAAAATGTTAATTGGGATATATTGTTTTGTTTTCTTCTCTCACACTTCAAGAAACAATCTTACTCTATCTTTTTAACCGGTTCTTCAACATCAGGGTCTCTATCTTCAGTTTTTCCAAGCACATTAGCTTTCTTTAGATTGAGTACTTTTTAGATGCTGACTCTAATTTATCAGTGAAAAACAATCCAATTCACAATCTCCACAAAATTCTACATTTTTAAGAAATTTTTAAAAAGCCTTACTTGCAATCACAAAACACACTGATAGAGAAAATTACTAAACATATATCAAGTTCCTCTCAACTTTAGAAAACAAATTTGGCCAGGTGACACCCGAGTTTGTGTTTCAGGTAATGCGTTGTTCCCAAACAACACTTTGTTATTAAAATTGAAAATAACTCAGAGTGATTCGGAATCGGGGCTCCAGGTTGGAGTCCTGCTCTGCGACCTCATAGGTGATCACTGCACCCAGGCAACTTCTGAGATGCAGGTTCTTTGTCTATACCTGGGTCAGCTTCCTACTGGACAGCTGTAAAAAGTCAAGTAGGTCATCACTTATGGAATAGATCTGGTAAAGTGTCCTGATGTGTGTGTTTAATTATTCAGAATGTAGGTGTTCACCTGTTTTCTGCATGGGTAAAAAACATAATGGAGTTGTCTTCATGATTTCATGCTTCTCTATTCAGTTAAATCCTTGATCACAATTCAGAAATACTGCTAGGAAATAAGGCACTGAGGACAACTAGTTTCGTGGCCAAATAAAAAGGAAAAAATAAAACTTTGCAACCTTGGTTGTCTACACTGACGTGACTGGGGCAGTGAGAATACTCTCCATGCCCTCTTGGGGGCCTCAGTGGCATGACTTCAAGCCACCAACAGAGGGTGGTAGTTCTGTGACACAGTAGGAATAAAGATGGGTGGGGGAGAGAGAGAAGGGAAGCACGAGGCAGATTGTAGCTTACTCGCTGGCTTCTATTTCTGATTCTGCTGGATGCTGCCAGGCTGATTCATCTGCATAGCAGGTGGTTGTACTCTATTTTGTCCTGAAATGCATTTCTTGCTTGTACACGTGCAAGTGGGGGTGTTTGATATATTGGGATTTTACACACTAAATTGTTTTATTTTTCTGTGGTTCCAGATTGCTTTCCTTTGCATTCTCCATCAGTACATCCGCAGGCTTGGAGAGAAAAAAGGGAACCTGAACCACAATACAGCGTGCTAAAAGACCCAGGACTGTCCTTGATATTTGGGGATCCCAGGGCGAGAGTGGAAAAGGAGGTGCATGTGCCAGTATAAATATTCAAAAGGCAGAGAGCGAGCTAATGAATTGTGACACAGAGTATATTCTATCCTTTGACAAATATATCCTTATAATGATCGAGAGGGCAAGGCTTGCATCTAGAATTTTTTGGCAGGGGGTCTTCAAAATTCTGAGCTACACTGAGGGGGAAGTTGGCCTCAGCCTTTATGCCTGCCCCACCCAGCCCTCACTTTCCACCCCGGATTCGCCCTGCAGCCCACAGGTCTAAGCTCTGTCTGACCCTGCAAAATGCTGCCCCCGGGCTTAGCGTGCACACACTCGTGGTCTGGGTCCCTGGAGGAGAGATTCACGTTTGTGCAGGCCCTAGAAGGGCTCAGGACCTTGGTCAGGGAATTGCAGGGATCCCAGTGGCCTGGGAGTGGGCTGTGGGGGTCTGGGCAGGAATGGCTCTTGAGCCCTGGGAGGAAGGGGAACAACTTGTCAGAAGGTCCAAGCAGTGTCCTTGAGAGTTCAGCACCTGGGGCAGAGTCCCTTCCTTCCTGGGTCTAGGAGTTCTGGAGGGAGTGTGGGACACCGGGTGGGTCTTGATTCTCCACAAATCATTTGAGATCCAGGAATAGCCATGTGCCCGCTCTGCACCTGAGCCCCCAGAGTGCAGAGAGGGTCAGCACACTCTCCCAGCTGGAGGCTTGGGAGCCCAGCCTGGAGCCTGGCTGGATGGTGCTTGTCTTCTCTTGGATAAGACACACAGAGCTGGCTTTTAAAATATGTGCAGTTCCAACCCCTGGATGAATGCTGCAGGCGCTGTCTCCACAGGAATATAATATCATGGATGTGACAGACCATTTCAGTGTCAGTCCCACAGCCAACCTGAGATCATCCGTGGAGCTCGGCCCAGCTCTGGTCCTGAGGCTTTCAAAAGGATTGTGTTAAGACCATGCAACTGTGTAGGTGGGGGAAGGGCGCTGGGGATGCATTCAGTGGTACAGGGTATGCTCAGTGTGTACCAGGCCCTGAGCTGGATCCCAGCACACAGAAAAAAATTTAAAATGAAATTTTAAAAAACCATCTAAACCCTCCACCCTGATGCTTAAAACAAAACAAAACAAAAAAAAGAAATGAAATAATTCTGATGAAGGTCTCCATCCTATTTCCACCCCTGCTTCTCTGAGGTTGATATAAATTCCTTCCATTTATGTTTTTATGCTTTTACTATTTTTTTTTTTAAAGAATGTACACAAAAGGCCTGCCGGGTGTGGTGATGCATGCCTCAGTTTGGGAGGCTGAGGCAGGAGAATCATGAGTTCAAAGCCAGCGTCAGCAAAAGTGAGGTCCTAAGCAACCCACTGAAACCCTGTCTCTAAATAAAATACAAAAAAAAAAAAAAAAAAAAAAAGCTGGGGATGTGGCTCAGTAGCTGAGTGCCCCGGAGTTCAATCTCTGTACCCAAAGAACAAACAAACAAAAGGCATCCTACTGTCTATCTCTTTGTAAGTCGCTTTTTTTCTTACTCAATATTTTCTTTATTAAAATTTATTTCATTCCTTTTAATTCATTCAAGATCTGAACATCCCTCCATGAATTTATCTGTTCCTGAGTTCATAGACACTTAACCTGATATCTGAACATTCTTGTGCACCTATGAGCAGAGCCCACACTCTGCCAGGAGGTGGGGTTGCAGTCTGTGGCGTGCACACTGCCAACTATCCCAGACCCTCCAAGGAGAAGCTGCCTTGCTAGGGCATCCTGGGGCCTGTGGCTGACCAAAACTGCCCACTCAACAACCCAAGCCCTTATTATTATTTTTTAAATTTAAACTTCTGTCCAGCTAAGTCTTCGCCACTATGAAAGTGAGCATGTTTTTGTCCTCATGTAGGACTTCACATGTCTGTGAATACCCAGAATATTTAATCTGGTACTAGGACTGTTTGTTTAACCAACAGTCACAGTACACCATTCTACACATGGGGCAGGGTACAAAACTTAATTTTACTATTTCAAAGGGTCACTCTTTTTTGCTGTTGACATTTATGATGCACTGCTAGGTAAACCTGGATTTGTTTGATACTCAGTATTGCCCAATTTGCTCCCTAAAAACACCCAATATACAGAATGGTAATCCAAATGACACAATTTCCAGGCACCTACTTAGCAAAGAGCAGGATCTTATATAGAACTCAACCTAGACCTTTCCTAAATGTCATCTTTATGCTTCGGAAGTTTATCAGACCATTGTGGGACAAGCAGGACTTTAGGTCAAGCAGGACTTGATCAGCAATTGGAAAGAAATTTCAGATATTAAGTCTGTTCCTATGTGATTTACTTGCCAACCTCACAATATTAGAGAAAACAATGTATTGATACTTCCTCTCTTATCAGGGCAGAGGTCTCTGATCTTACCATCTTCCATATTGCCATGGAACAAATCGTGCTTTTCCGAGTTTCCTGTAGCCATGGTTTCCTCCTCCTCCTGCAATCTCCCTTCCCCCGGCCACAATGCGGTTGTCTTACTCCAAAGCCAAGAACCCATGGGTCAAGGCACAAACTTTGTGCTATGCTTTGAGAAAGCAGTTGGGCCAGAACCAATCTGTGGGATTCTCTTCCACTGGAGGAGGGGAGGGGCTTTCTGAGCACGTTTTCGTACAGGTGCATGGTAAAGGGGTGTGTGTTGAGGAGGTGACACTGGAATCAGAAAAGCGGGGTCTGCTACTATCCAGATGCATGGATTAAGGGCGACGCGATCTTTAAAGGGGGATACTGCACTGAGAATCAAATGACAAGTATTTAGATTTGCCATGGTTTGGATATAGTTTGAGTTCAGGTGTTGAAATTTAATCTCCATTGTGAGGTTATTAAGATGAAAACTTAATCCTATTATAGTGATCAAAGGTGGAGTCTTTGGGAGGTGATTAGGATTACCTAAAGTCTTCAGGGTGGAGCCCTCAATTAAATACTGATGGCTTTATAAGAAGGGAGGGACCAGAGGATATACAGACTCATACTCATGTTCTCTCTCTCTTGCTATGTGATGCTCTTCCCTGTCTCAGGACTCTGCCAGCAAGAAGGCCATCACCAGATGTAGTCCCTCAGCCTGGGACCTCCAAAACAATGAGTCAAAATAAACCTCTCTTCTTTATAAAGTATGCAGCCTCAGGTATTTCATTACAGCAATAGAAAGCAGATGAATACAGTTATGCTTCATAAACTAGTCAGTGAAATGAAAACATGTGCATCTCTTAATGTGGTTAGGGAAACCATCAT